CTGTCAGGGATTTAAAAGACGTGTAGATGTGGCATTTAGAATGTGGTTTAGTGATGAACATGGCAGTGCTGGGTTAGTGGTTGAATCTTGGAGGTTTTTTCCAACCTAAACAATTATATGATTCTCTGATGTATTGGTATCCTAGTGATGCAATCATTATTTTTGTCAACCAGCACATTTCAAGAAAACATCAGGCTATCAATTAGTATGCAAAAAGTCCCTTGTTTAGCTCCAACAACTTGGCTGGCTGTATCTCCATTGTCTCAGAACAACACTGAAACATGCACCCTTGTTTGGTCCCTTTAGCCTTTAAAGCATCTGTTCATACAAACCCCTGCCTGAGCTGCCAGAATCACTGATAAAACAATTTAATTTTTTTAGGAGTTGCAGCTTTTGGTAAGATGACAAGGCACATGATACACTCATATTGGTATATGAGTGCTTGGGCCAACAGGGTTGGGTTTGTGTGTTTTTTAAACACTTGACTTTGAACAATTGAAAATAAAAATCTGGTTTTGAACATAGATAAAAGACAATAAAAGCTATCATATAAAACTATGAATAAATAAATATTAGGTAAGTAATTAATAGGCATCACACTCTCAGGTTCCAGTGTGGTTGTAACTACAGACGAGATTGTGCATGGAGATATTCAGAGATTAAGGAAGAAGACTTGCAGAAGAGAGCAAATATTTTCCATGCTCTGAAACCCAGCTCATTGGCTTTACATTGCTTCCCTGAGTGGAACTGTCTTGGCCTACTTCCATGGGAGTGTCACAGGAGAGGGAAACTGAGATGAAGACTCATGGCAGGCAAACCTAAACACCAGACTTGAGCTCACCCTTTCCTTTTAAACCCTATATAAATCCATTCATATGGACAACGGCTTATGTTTCTGAACAATGATTCAGAACACAGATCTTAAGTCAGAAGGCAACAAGCTGCTTCACAAATTAATTTTGGACTCTTCTTGCTCTATTTCTGCCTTTTTGCTGCTTAAAACTAGCTGTGTTTTGTTGCTCTGCTAAACTTTTAATGCAGGTCATTTACTACCCAGGCAGAAGGGAAAGGGCAAAAGCAGAAAAAGCAGAGGTGCTTGATCTCTTTAATGCACAATCTTGCAGCACTTTCAAAATCTGTATGAAGATTGCCTTGTCCTGCTTTGAATTTTATCTGGCTTCTTACTTCTCAAGATACAACGCAATTACAGACAGGCAGACACTGTTAGTCCCTGAAAAAATTAATACAGCAGGATTGTGAGGAAGGCAGGGAAGCACAAGAGGCACAAGGAACAGATCTGATGCATTAGCAGATATCTAGCTTTTGGACTCACACACTTAAAATATTTAAACAACCCATAAACATTTGCAAACTTAGGTGTTACTGGACTGATGAGTTATAATACACTTTTTGATAGAAAATGCAGATGAAGTGTGCTCTTAGTGTTGGAGATTGAGAGTTTCTGAATGTCAGTAGCTTTCCACAGCTTGGAAATGCACTTAAAAGCTAAAATAACTTCAGATGAAGGGAGAAAGAATGAGACAAAGAAACTAATATGATGTGAGGGGGAACTATAGCTCCACAGGCAGGTGATCTGTAGGTCTCACATCCTGCCACCAGCACTTCTCACAAGGAAGCAGCAGTGTCCCTGATGCAGCTCTTAAAATGCAAACTGGGCACTTCTGACAGAAATAAAGTAAACCAGATGATGGGATAGTGTCATGCTTTGCCTCAGCAAGTAACCAAACACCACATAACTGCTCACTCATCTCCTTCCAGTGGAATGGGAGAGTGAATGGGGGGAGGGGGGAAGGTAAAATTTGTGTGTTGAGAAAAAGAGTTTAATAGCACAAAAATGGAAGGGAATTAATAACAACAATAGAATTAGAATATGCAAAACAAATGATACACAATGCAATTGATCACCACCTGACAAGTGATGCCCAGCCAGTCCCTGAGCAGCAGCCCTGGCCAGCTTTGCCCTTAATTTATAGTCTGGAATACCCCTTTGGTCACTTGGGGTCAGCTGTCCTGGCTGTGCCCCTTCTAGCTTCTTATGCTCCCCTTGCTGGCAGGGCAGCATGAGAAGCTGAAAAATCCTTGAGTTGGTATAAACATTAACTCAAGCTTAGTAACCACTAAAACATCAGTGTGTTATCAACACTATTCTCACCCTAAATCCAAAGCCCAGCACTGGGCTCCAATTAACCCCATCCCAGCTGAAACCAGGACAGATGGACACAATCACATCTTGGCTTCTTTCAGGCACCACAGCTCTAAAAATCTCCTTGTCTAGGACAGAGAAAGCAGCACACAGTCTGTCTGAAGTGTACTGGTCTGGCAGCAGTAAGGAGGCTCTGGGAAGGAGGCTCTTTGTACAGTCCACAGCTCACCATCATCCTAAAGAAATCACATCTTCTGTCTTCCTTTCACAAGGGTGAAAGGTAAGAATAAACATTACCAGGCCCAGTTGTGTGGAAGGGATATCAATAGCATTGGGGTTTGTTCACAGCTGCCCAGAAAGCCAGCACAAGAGCTTTCTAACCACTCACACCCCCACAAAAGGAAACTGAAAACCATTTTTGACAAGCACACAGCCACAGAGATCACAGGCGGAGGCATATGAAAGGGGCTGTATACAAGCCAAAGCTACTTTCATCTCTTTTGCCACTGAAGGACACTTCAGCTTCAGACTGTCCTTTTAGCAACACCACAGGGAACTTCCACAACAGCTTCCCCTGTTCTATTCCTGTGCCACTTCAGCAGAGACCTCACCTTTAAAGTCAGCACCAGCCAGGACTTTGTAGAGGTCCAGAACCAGAAGACTTTTATACAGTCTCACTTGAGCATGATTGCAAAGTATCTATCTTCCTATTAGAGCAGAGATGTTTAAGTATTTGTTCAAGTAATGTTCAAGTGATTTGTGTCCAAAGAAGGAAAAGGAGGCTGGTGGAAACGTTCAAAAAATGTGTAGATGTGACACTTAGGGACAGGATTAACGATGGACCTGGCAGTGTTAGGTCAATGGTAGGACTCAGTGATCTTGGAGATTTTCCAGTTCTACTTTGAGCTCTAGGATGACTGGAGTAATTCTCTCTCGTGATTCCACTCTGTTTTCCCTGACTCTCCTGTCCCCAAGGACCACTCAGCACAGAAGGAGAACAGGACAGACACTCAAATACTACAGAGACACAACACACACTGTGTCCAATGCCTTTGTTCCCAACAGGGAGTTCCCAAGCCCTGCCGTCCCTGTTGGTGTGGCAGCTCAGAGCTATGATAGGCATTGCAGCCAGGATGCCCCTACAAACACAGCTGTACCACCAGCTACTTACAGTATTCAGGGGGCTCCCAATTCAAATCCAACCTAGTTACTTTTAAAAGAATTCAGCACACAGTGAGAACTCTGCTTTCAAGAAAGTCCAGCAGTTAAAACAGATCCCTCAGAACAAAAAGGGCCACTGGTTTCTGAAGAAGTGCAAGCCACTGCCACGTGCTCATTTGTGCTGGCATCCTCATCCACCCTGCTGTCAGCAACCAAGTGCATTTAGATCCCCCACACACAGCACCTTTCCCCAACCTTCCTCATTTCCTGGTGAAAGATCAGTCTCAGCAGAATTAGAGAAGCAAGGGTGAGTGAAAGGACAAATACAAAATGAATGCTTAGCAGGAATTGTCTTCTCTGTCTGTTCTTTAAAAAAAGAAGTGCTTTTCTAGAACAACACAGTGAAGAATAACCGTTCAGCTTTCTATTTTAGAATGAATTTGTCTTACATGTCCATGGCAGAAAGTTAAACTCAACAAAGAGATGTTCAGCCCTTCCTCTTCATTGACATGCTGTATCCTCCCGTTCCAGTTTGGGGACAATTTTAGCCCAGCTAAGGGAAACTTGTGGCCAAGGGCTTGACACAACAACTCCCCAGGCAGGGACATCTTCCACTAGCCCAGGTTGCTCCAAACCAAGTCCAAACTGGCCTTGAACAGTCCCAGGGATGGGGCATCCACAGCTTCTCTGGGCAGCCTGTGCCAGTGTCTCACCATCCTCATAATGAAGAATTTTCTCTTAATATCTCATCTAAGCCAGCCTTATGTCAGCATGAAGCCCCTCTGCCTTCTCCTGTCCCTACAGCCCCTGCAAAAATTCCTCTCAAGTTCTCTTGCAGGCCAGGCCATAGACAGTTTTGTTGACTACTAGGAACTGAAACTCATTTAAAAACAGGGAAGAGAAAAATAGGAGTTGATTACAAACCAGGATCACATTCCAGGAAAAAGGTGTCAGAGTTTGATCATTTGTCTTCATTCCACATGGGAGGAAAAAGTGGTATCTTTACACATTTGTTACAAATGATTAAAAGAATCACTTTTAAAGGTAAGAGGAAACTGTAAAAGACTGGTCTGCCAAAGCAATGGGAACAGCCCAGCAGCAGCAACTGGTTTTGTAATGCCAACGATCAATCAGAAGAAATCCAACCTCTCCTGGGAGAAATTTGTCTCAAAAAGGAAATAACAAATGAGAGAAGTGGAGTCAATATACCAGTAAGGAAGAACAGATGCTGCCACAGCAAGACTGAAACAGCCTAGCTCCTTGTAAGCCCTGTTTGTTGCTTCCCCACTCCTCTGTTTCTGTATCTGTATAATTTATTCCAAAGCAAATTTATTATTTTAAAGACTCCATGGAGAAGGCTTTGTGTGTGCTAAGGGACACAGTGCTAACTACTTCTTCCTCTTCCCTATTATCAAAGGCTTTGCCTAGTCTGGGATTTAGCAAGACTTTTAATTAATGGCTTCCAATGGTACATCCACACTGGAAAGACTTCACTCATTAGCTAATTAGTCTATTGTCCTAATTAGGAAAGTTAGTTTTACTTCCTTGTTGCCTGGCACAGGAAACCCTGGTTTTCCCACTTAGGTTTTTGCTCAAGTCAGTTGCTGGCTTCTCTGTCCTTACTTGCTTTTTGGAAGGACTTAGAGCAAGGTGCTGGCAGACATCATTGCCTCACCTTTCCATGCGAGTCTAGACCAGGCAGGGAATGTTTTGTTCACTGCAGCTGTTCTGAAAACAGGGCCCTCTCGAGTCCCCAGCAAGGTCTTGGGTCATTAGGAACTGGCTCATCAGCATCTGTCAGGAACAAGAGTGCATTGTCTTACAAATTCTGTCTTCCTAAGAGGATAATGCCAGTGCCAGTGGGGTTGGAATGAGATGATCTTTAAAATCCCTTCCAAAACAAAGCATTCTCTATCTCTGAAGGACCAGAAGGCCAGTACATGTGCTGAAATGTTCAATCCTCCTAACCTAGGTGAGAAGTGACCTGAGGTTGAGCACCTTCCAGCAGGCTGTGTTTGCTGAACTGCTCTGGGCCCAAATGTATCTCAGCAAGTAATGCAGGTGGATCCTCTGCAGGAGCTGCAAACTTGTGTCTTGTCAGAGACAGCAGAGCTGTAACTCCTGCTGCTCCTCCTTGCTCTGACTGCTGGCCATGGTATTAACTCTCAGCAGACAAGACTGCCTCTTCCAAGGCAGGGATTTGCTCAACAGCCTCCCAGCACAAGTATCCCTCCTGTTCCCATCACACATGCCCCTCCTTCTCCCACCACACCTGTGTTTTTCTGCAAGTCCTCACACCACACTTCTCTCTTCCCTGCAGAAACTCCCACGGATGATCACAGCAGAGGCAGAGTTTGCAATCCACATTGTAATGTCTGACCATTTTGGTGCCTATCAGCTACACCTACTCTTGAAGTGTTTTGTCAGCAAGCTTTCCACTTAGTCCAATTAATTTTGACTAATCACTTTGGGTTAGTAGAAAGACTGTTTAAGACACAAGCCATAATGGCAGAGCTCACCACTGACTTAATGCTCACATCTTAGGTAGAGTAGAAAAATTTTTTTCCTTTCTAGTCTTTCCTTGAAAAAGCCAAGACATAATCTCTGCCTTGACAACATGTACTTCTACATAAAGGCACCAGTATACTTCATTCTAGCTTAATTTCTCCCTGCAAAGCAGAACACTGAAAACTCCAGAGAAGCTGTCGATATTTTTGGAAATGCCAGAAAGAAAACAGGCAGAACTAGTGATGGAAAGCAGAGGATAGCTAATTCTTCAACTCATCTTCATTTTGGAACACCTCTCCTATGAAGGAAAGGTTGGCTGTTCATTCAGATTCTCGGGGGTGTTCAGTCTGGAGAAGGTTCCAGGGAGACTTTACGGCATCTCCTAGTACCTAAAGAGGTCTGTAAGAAAGATGGGGACAGACATTTTACCAAGGGTTGTTGCAGTAGGACCAAGGGGTAATGGGTTTAAATTAAAAGAGGGTAGATTTAGATTAAATATTAGGAATAAGTTTTTTATAATGAGGATGGTGAGCCACTGGTACAGGCTGCCCAGGAAGGTGGTAGGTGCCCCATTCCTGCAACATTCAAGGCCAGGTTGGACAGAGCTCTGAGTGACCAGATCCAGTTGAAGATGTCCTTGCTCCATGAAGGAGGGTTGGACAAGATGACCTTTAAACATCCCTTTCAATTGAAACCATTCTGTGAATTCTATGATCTTTGCTACTGCTGTTTATTGAGGTGCTGAGATCATACTGACCATTTGTAAATAAACTAATGGTGCCAAACTCAGAAGAGACAGATATTTTCAGTCAGATATTAACAGACACTGCCAGTGTGAGCATGATCTGTCTTCCACCAGGAGTCAGAAGAGCAGAGGTGAGAGAGGAGCTTGAGAGAAAAGCAGGAATACTAACTTGGGCAACTCCAGACTACTCCAAATGCTACTGGAAACCTCTTCCAGGAACATTCTGTGTTGTCATGGCTTGCTTTCAATCTCTGTACCAGGAACTGGAAAGGGTGCTTGAGGTAAAGCTAATGCACCTTATGCCCACATCTTCATGGCACCACTGGCCAAACTCTCTTGAGCTTCAGCTCTGACCTCCTGCCTTAACACACACCTTGCTGGGCAATCAGTCACAGGGCCTGGGGTTTGCTGTTATTTGGGCTGGCTCATGTCAGCTCTTCAAAGCCATCAGGCCAGTGTTGAGAGATCTCCACCACCCCACCTTCCCAGCACTCCACAACTGAGACACTTCAGAAAGTTCCAAAGCATCTCAAAGATGAGGAGGGAAGACCTTGACATGTAGAGACTGAAGAACTGTCTCTAGAGGTACTGAGGCTGAAGAACAAACTCAGCTGGCACAGATGTAGTAGTAGAGGGAGACTGCCCAGCCATTCAGCCCTGGCTCTGCTCCCTGAGGCACCTCTGGCAGAGCCAACAGAGATATCACCCAGACAACTTCAGGGAAAAGCTGCAGGTAGGGAATGACACAACGCACAGCCCTTGTCCTCAGACAGCTTGGGGCCAGGCTAATGACACAGGCTATTGTTCTCCCATTCTGTTTAAAAAAGAAATTACTTGCATGGATGTTGGCTTTGGAGTACGTGCTTGGCAATGCCAGCAGATAAACAGAAAGGATTTTCATGGAATACCACTTTTGAAAGAAATACATTTAAGTTATTTTTGAAATATTACTAAATCCAGTAGTGAATATTTTGAATGTGGTATAATCCATTTTCCTAGAAACCAGCCAAGACAAACTGACAGCAGCACAAGGGAAGTGCCACCATGCTGCCATCCCTGTGTCACTGCTCCCTTAGGGACATGAGCAGGAGCCTCACATGCCTCCCTCCTCCATCAGTGTACCTTAAAAACACAGCTCCCATCAGCTCTTCCCTCACCAGGCAAGCCTGGATCCTTCCTGCTGATCCTGACCCTGCTCCCCTATGAGCCAGAGACCCTCCATGGAAGCCCCAAAGCCGAGTGCTGACAAATGCATTGGGAGGGACAATGCAGCCACTAAAACGACTGGGCAGGGGTATTTCAGCAACCTGCAGGTGGGACTGAGGGCCAAAGAACTGACACAGTGAGATCTGCATGGCTCTTGCCATTGAAGCTGGCCAGCAGATGAAAGCAGGAGACAAGCAGGTGGATCGGGTGGGTGCAGAAGAACCACCCCTGAGCACAGATCATCATCTCCCAGGAGTTCTACCCTGAAAGCAGAGCCCAAAATCCATACCCAGGCACAGGATTCCAGTCTTCTTCTCCCTCTTACCTTCTATGTGCTGTTCACACCACAAACCCTCTTCTGCCATGTTTGTATGCAAGTCCAGGGATAGCCTAAGCTGCAGTGATCACCTAAAGGAACAGTCTCCTCACCTTAGGGACATAGGAAAGAAAGTTACAAGTCACAGGAAAATCCTGGACCACCTGGAGAACATCTCCCTTTCCTAAAATGCTTCTTCTGAATCTCCTCACAAGCAGGACAGAGCTGAAGCCACCAGAGGAGCCCTGTGCCCCATCCTGGCTCATGCAGGCAGCTGTGGGCACACTGGGGAGGCTGCTCCCTCTCACCTGGCTGTCAGGCAGCATTCCCTGGGGCAGCATAGGCCAGGGCTCCATTTCCTAATGCATCCAAATGCAACTCTGCTGTGGATTTCACCCATCCCATTAAGATACAATTTGATCTATTTTCTACTGCAGTATCTGAAGAAATAAAACTCACAGCTGAGATCTGAAGACCATACAGCATGCTAAGAGTAAGATGAAATATGTTAAACTCTAAGTTACAGCTCATAGAGCCCACAGGAACTGTGTGCCTGCTCAGCACCACAAGGCTGGGGTTTGCTCCTAGAAAACACCAGGGTCTCTTGAGCCCACCTACCCTTACTGCAAAACATGAACGTCTGCAAGAGGCAGAGCTGCCAGCCCTCCCCACCTTCCCTCTGCCATGGGGAAGAGGTGCAGCTCAGTCAGCCTGAGTATTCCACTGCCCACCTGGGCACAGCTTTTGCTGTGCTTGGTACATCCCATCACACCTCCTGCAGGGGCCAGACTGTCACCAGTGCATTAGCATTCCCACGTGTCCCCCTCCTCCCTCACCCTCTGCATTCTCCTGCTCCAGGCCAGAAGCATTGCATCCCTGTCAAAGGACAGGCAGGGCTTCAGGGCAGGTGGGACTCTGGGCTGCTGGACCTCAGTCCCTGCAGACACCACAGCATTTGTCAACATCACATCTGAAGGTGCTGCTGGGGATTGTTCAACAAAGCAAGATCTGAGGTCTCTCAACGCAAGGCATCAAGGGGATGGTCTCAGAAGAGACTCACTGGTCCTCATTCCAATTTTCAGAAATGAAGAGGGTTAAACATGAGAAAGCTACACCACAGGTTTCCTTTTACATCTTCCAAAAAAGCAGTCCCATCAGACTGGGGCTGTTGCAGACATGACTGTCCTGGGATTGTGGCACAGCCTTCTCCTAAGGACTGTCCTGTCCTCCTCCACCCCTGATCTCTGCTGTGGGACAGACTTGGAAGGAATTAAACATCCTGTACAGAGAGAAAAAAGCAAATAAAATGCAAACAAAATGAAAAAAAGAGAAAAGCATACAAAACCTATCTCTGAATTAATTTCCATTTTATTTATAGGCCATGACATGACAGTTGTCCTTCTAAGCCTTTTAATTAATCACAGGGAACAGTTAATTTGAGCACATATGCCCACCTTCCCTCTTCCTGAAAGATGTTTCAGCTCGTATTGAAGGATTGTCTGCAAGGTAATTAATTATTTACCATTATCTATGCCAGTACTTGGCTCTCCAGATTTTTTAGGAACATCAAGTCCTCAGGCAGCAATGCTCTTTGGGGCTGAAAAGAAAAGACGAGCCTTTGCTAGAGACAGGGAAGGGCACAGGGCTAGGAGGGACTGAGAAAGGGAGAACGGGAGCTCAGCACTGTGCTGAACACGGCTTGCTCTCTTGTCCACAGGGTGGCCATCTGGGGAGGCAGGGAGGTATTTTACATGATACAAGACACAAATCTGCCTAATAACAAGATTTTTGTTTCCACTAATTTCAGCTGTATAAAGACCTACATGTGTAACAGAACTTTTGTCAAACACTGCAAAGACAAATAATCTTCAGTTCAGAAATGCCAGAATTACTGTCTCTAGTGGAAACCTGTTCCACTGGAGTATTGGTTTTGCACAGCCTGGTTTCTGATAGCAGGGAAGCCACAAAGATGGCTCCTGTGAAAAGCTCCTGGAAGCTTCCACCATGTCCAGCAGAGCCAGTCTCTGATGGCTTTGAAGATGGTGTGGTAGGGCTGCTGCTCCCGGGAGTGCACCCATGCCAGGAAAGTTCACGGAGAACTGTCCCCCATGGGAGTGACCCCACAGTCTCACAGGGGAAGGACTCTCAGAGCAGCAGAAGAAAATCTCAATGATGAGCTAACCATTGCCCTGTCCCTCTGCACTGTTGGTTGGAAGGAGCAAGGGGCTGGAGGAAAGCAGTGTTTTAAGGGCTTATTTTACTTCTCATTATCCTCCTCTGATTCCATTAGTAATAAATTCACTTTGCAACCGTAAGTTGAGCCTGTTTTGTCCTTTAAGTGTTTTTCCTGGTCTTTATCTCCACTCAGGAAGTGTTTGTCAATTTCTTTTTTTTTCTCCCCTCTCCACTGCCCAGCTGTAGCAGGGGAGGGTGAGCAAAAGACTCTGGTGGGTGCCTGGCATTGGGCCAGCATCAAACCACGGCAATTCCTCTCAAATCACGTATTTCTCACTTGACCACATACCATCTGGCTCCCAAACCACTGGTACACCTGAAGTGCATGCTGAGCACTGCTCACTTACTGAATGACTAACAGTGCTTCAACTCCATTCCCCAGCCACACACCCATGACTTACAGTGCTGTGTTCAAGTCCTGCTCCAACCCGGGCTTTGGGAGTGGGAGGAGGAGGATCAAACGACTGGGGGTGGGAGGAGCAAAAATTTCTGCTGGGAGTTGCACAGAGTTTCACAAAGGGGCTCCTGAGATCCAGCGTTCCTAAAAATACTCACGACTACATAAAGACTTTTTTCCCTGGAAAAAAAAAATAGAAAAGAAAAAAAAAAACCCAAACCCAAATATTGGAAGCTTTGACCTCACAGAGTTGATGGGATGGAATGCCCTTGGGAACCCCAACGGAGCTGCATGAAGGACCAATTTAGAAACATTTCTGAAGCTACTGTGCTACAAAGCAACTTAGGAGCTGCTCATGCCCGAGTGAGCTGCCGCCTGCTCTGGAGCTCTGGGAGCACAGATGGGAGCAGCACAGCATAGGAGCACAAATGCCACTTGGAGCAGGACAGGACAGTGGCTGAGCCTCCTCTTTGGCACTCTGGACACAGCCCAGGAGGAGCCCAGAGCAGCACTGCTGGAAGGAGGATATGCCAGGGCCTGGATGGGAATCCAGTCTGAACCCTCACCAGTGCAGGAGCAGGTGAATGTGAAGGTGATGCCATCAGAGACCTCTCCAAATCAGTTTGGCCACGGGGCTGTGCCTGTGGCTCCAACACAACCTGAACAAATGCCCTGTCTCTGTGTCTCACTGCAAGACATCTTCCAGGAAAAGGCACGTCAAGACTGTTCTCCACTTTATGCTCCTATTACACTTGAAGTTCGCACTTCACCTTAATCCAAATTGATTTTCTCACAGGTTTCATCCCACTGTCACTCCTGCTTCTCCCACCTCCCACAGCCAGCAGCCCCACTGCAGTGCCACGGGAGCAGGGGCTGCAGCAGGGACGGATCCATCCCCACCTACACTCCTGCTCCAGTGCTCCCAGAGCCCACCACACCCCCCAAGAGACCACTCTCAACAACTTCTCTGCAGCAGCCCTACAGCCCAGCCCAGCTGAGCCCAGCCCCAGCCAGGCTGCTCTGCAGCCCTAATGCTGCAGGTACCATTCCCATGGTTGGGGCACTGGGGAGCACTGGCAGTCAGCTTGAAATGGCAAACTCATCACCGAGCTGTTGGTGCATCAGTAACAAAGCTAAAAGGCAACCACTGGCATGGACTGCCCCCCTCAAGAGATCTCTGCAGCCCTAATGCTGCAGGTACCATTCCCATGGTTGGGGCACTGGCAGTCAGCTTGAAATGGCAAACTCATCACCGAGCTGTCGGTGCATCAGTAACAAAGCTAAAAGCAACCACTGGCGTGGACTGCCCCCCTCAAGAGCAGAGACATCTGTCAGCAGCCCCCCCTCTGATGTCCCAGGTGCCCATCCCTGCTGAAGGGCAAGGGGGTGCTGGCTGCCACCCTTCCCCAGCAGGTGGGGAAGGGGAGACCCTGGAGTGCCAGCAACCTTCTTGCAGTTTAACCAACACACAGGCTGCTCCCCTCAGCAGAGCCCCCCCAGAAAGCCCAGCCACCTGCAGCAGGGCCCCCCTCATTCAGGGCCATGGGCTCGGTGCATCAGCAGCACTGGTAGGAGTTTGCTGTAGACAAGTGAATCAGTGGAACAGATGAGCAGCTCCTGAAGCATCTACCCACAATGTACAGCAAGAAGAGATGTAATTTCAGGCTTATGGCAGATGCTGGAGGGTTTGTGGTGCTAAAAAAAAATTAAAAAATAAATCTCAACACCTACATATAATAGATAGCTTTCTAGGACAAGGAAATCCTGCAGTAGCCAAAAGAAAACCAGTCACAGTTCCCAACTAGATTTGAGGTAAGGAATCAGAACATGGTCCAAAACAACATCTCCTAAAGGTCAGTTTCACAAAACTAGAAAGAACCAGACACAAAAATAACTGAGAGAAAACATCTAAATATAAGTAAGTGTGACAATGCTTATTGGAGGATGTTTAAAGATGCCTTAGTAGAGTCCTCTTTCCCACCAAGAAAAGTAACAGTATATTTTAAAAAAAAATATTTGGTTTAAAATAGAAATTTAAGACAAGAGCCAAATTTAAAAGAAAAGAAAAAAATAAATCTACTTTAAAATTAGAGCCAATTTTATAGAATTCAATACATTTTATAAAGAAAGCTAGAAGATATTAAAAAACCTGGAGGCAATAGGTCTATCAGGAAAAAGCAACAATCTATCAATACATTAGGCTTGATACTAAAAATGTACAGTGAAAATATCCTGATATAGACGATGTAGAAAGTATAAGCATTACTTTTATCTTTGCAAATAAGGATGACTTAAATCTCAGCTATAGCAAAATTCTCAGAGAAGCAAGTTGGGAAGATCCCCAACAGCATCTGCTAACCATCCTTCACATCTGTAATGAGAAAACCTGGACTCGGAGCCTATGAAGGAGCTCACCCAAATTCCTAACATTGACTTTAGAGAAAAAAACAAACCAGAAGCCTGTCCCAGGCCAGCCAGGAAGTTCCAGAGGTCTTGGGATAATAAATAAAAAGCCCTGCTCAAGCAAACAAAAACTTAGCACAGTGCCAGTATTTCCAGAGGGCAAACGGCTGACCTGGGAAGTGCAGGCTGGTCACCCTGCCCGTGCTCCCAGCAGGGCAGGGAGCGGCCAGCGAGTGCTCAGGGATGGAAACACAACTCCTGTTAGTCAACACAGTTTTCTGGCTGGAGGGCTTGTCAAACGGATCTGGTATTTCTTCTTAGAGTTTGCATTTGGCTGACAAAGGTAACCGTGTTGACATAACACATACAGACTTTGTGTGACGCCCGACCTTGGCTGGGGTGAGAGTTCAAGAACAAAATCCCCCTCGCTATGCAAACAGCCGTGTATAGTGTATATCCAGAGGATTAAAAGCCAGTTGAGCCCAATGACCTCATTAGAGTTGTACCTGCACTGCCTGCCCCTAGAGAAGTTTTGGATCCCCAGAGATTACACTCCCAAGAGCAAAAAGGGCCTGTGAGGCAGCAGAAATTGCTCTCTGCACACAAAGCTCCAGGCAGCACTGCTGGGAGACATGGGTTTCCAGGGAATGCATGTTTGGGCTGTGTGCCTGAGTTTGCAGCGAGTTGAGAAGAACTAGAGAAGGGTATTGCTAGAGCCCCTGCCTAGGGAGCAGGCTCATTGAAAAATATTGGCTGGTTTTAGAGCTGATTTTCACACTTGTAAAGCTGGCCAGAGGCAGAATGGAAAGCTGTAAGGTCAGCCATGCCTGCAGCCCTCGGCTGGTCCTGATCCCACACGTGTCCCATTATACACAGCTCACTATCATTGTTTCTTACTTGGGTCCTAATCTGTGCTCAGCACTCTGAGCACCTTCCAGTAACAACACTGGACACATCAACTTACGTTATACCTTCCCAGATGGAAAGAGAAGCAGTGTGATTTCTCTTGAAAGAGAAAGTTCTTCCCAACCTCCCCAGTGCCCAATGCAATAAAAGGGTGGTCAGGTTTGTCAAAATTTTCAGCTGCCAAAAAATTTCACCCCTTCCAAAAAGACATATAGACATCTTTCCTGTGAGAGGAGCAGGGCTATTCCTCACACCCTTCACCCTCAATCGTGCCACTGCCCTGCCTTGTCTCTATGTTTGGACATACAGACCAAAGCCTGGAGCTTTTCTGGAACCTCTCTGACCACACAAATATCTCCAGTGTTCAGGTAACACTGGACTTAGGAAAGCCTAACACCAGACATTCTTCAGCATTTCTGGCTGAACAGTCAGCTGTGGATGTGAACTGTCTACCACAAAGGACACCTGGGGCTTTCAGTGAATCCCAGTTTCCTCTGCCCACAGGCACCACTCACCTCCTTCTCTTTGTTCAGTTCCAGGCAAATGCTGATGTGAGATGCTGCCCAGCAGTCACACTCTTGTGGCTATGTGCCACTGCAGGTGTGGGCAGTGCTGAAGTGACAAGTGACAAGTTCTTCAAAAATGTCCAGGGTAGTGGATCATAAACCCCACCCTCACAAGAGAGATCCCCCACCACAGCCACTGAAGCAGTGCCAGTTACACATCCCAGCCTGAATCCAGATTATCCTGACAATACAGTTTTAGCTCCAGCTGGATGACCTCGCGTGAGCTTGCTCCAGAAACGAAAGGTCCTTCCAGGATTTGGCAAGAGCTGACACAGCCATCAGAGGTGCCCTTTTCATTTATTGAACTGGCTTAGGGTATATTTGCACATGAGCAGATAAACTCTTTGTCCAAAGGACTTCAATCTGGCTGCTGGGTTCCAGATGAGCCCCTCTCATTCACGTGGCTGCTCACGTGTCAGGAGGAGCATGAACTGAGCTGAGATCCCTGACTTTCTGTCCTGCATCCAGGGAGGCTGACAGACTGCTTACTTCCCAACACAGAGAGATGCAGTACTGTCTGAACACCTAAGCACATATGATCTTTTTAGCAACACAAGATAACAACACTTAGATGCAGGTTAGACATTTTACTTTACTGAATCAGACCACCACCACCAGTGGCCTGACCACCTCATCCTCCTGCTGCTGAAACCCTCTGTGACTTAGCACAGGCACTCCCAGTTTAGGCTGTGACTGAAGGAGGAACAGTGCTCAGGTGAACAAACAGGATGGGTCTTGGGACTTACCACAGCTTCAAAGTCTGTCACACTGAATTCCCCACTAGTCACACTCAAGCTCTGTGTGCAACAAGAGCCACGTCCCCTCAAATCAGGAAGGTTAGCACTGTTTGCACTTGTGTTGACTTTATTCGTACACGCTGACAGCTTGTACAGAGAGCAGACAACAGGCAACTGACAAGGGCTAAGATCTGGAAAATATCTCCGTGATCACTTCACCACAAAGCTGTTCCTTTTCACTTTCACAGGAGCTTCAACTCAACTCACAGTGGAGGCAGTCTTGAAACACGAAATGCATTCAAGGGATCAACGATTTGAAAGGCAATAAAAGCCGTTAATAGCTTCAAATCTGCTTGCAGCCAGATAACATAAACAGCTAGTTATCTTGGGAGAAGGGTAGGGTGCTTTTCTTCCCCAGAACCACTGATTACAGACTTGCAGCACCCACATTTTAAAGCAAAGCTGAAGAGAAGGGCTTTTGCAGCTCTACTGCAGTTTCTCATAAACCCAGTACAGCCTGTCTGTGTACTACGGGTGCTGTGGGCAGCGTTT